TTATTTGTTGCTGAGGTTCATTGATTTCAAATGCTATTTCATTTTTAATAACGTATATCAAGGGATAAGAAGTAGACCTGTAATTTTACTGGAATAGAGAATTACTGGGTGGAGGAATGTGTATGTGTATTTGAAATATATATGTGTGTGCATGTGTGTATGTATACATATATGTGTGTATGTATGCATGTATGTATAGAATTAGTATTCTTTCCACTATATCATGGAATTACTTTAGGTGGGAAAAGAAAAAGCATCAGTGTGTCTAATCTTCTTCCTTATTCGGTCAGAAGATAGGACTGAACTAGGTGACTGTAAGCCAGGAAGAGAAGCTGGTCTGTTGCCAACTTTCACATACTGACTCACTGGCTGTGAGGGTGTGAGCGAATCTTCATTCTTTAATTTCTTCTTTTATAAAATGGAGACAATTGCACGTTCAACTACCCCCATCACAAAGACGGAAAATTTTAAATGAATTGACACATTTTAAAATATCGCTTAAAAATACTCAGGTTTAAATGAGTCTTTAAAAAGAGACAGAGACATCTGTATTCTTCCAAGATTCAGCACTGAATTAGTTTAAATTTACTAATTTCAGAATCACAGAATTTTAGAGCCAGAAAGAATCCATCTCTTCCTGGAACAACAATACCTTCCATCACATTCCCAGGAGGGGTGACCCAGTCTATGCTTGAAGACACGATAGGGAGCTCACTGACTCCTGAGGCAGCCATCTGGAACAGCTCAACTTTTTAGGAACTTTTTCTTGATGTCAAGCAGAAATTTGTCTTTTTTTTTTTAATTTCTATTAGTTGCTTCAGTTCTGCACTCTGGGCCCAAGCAAAACAAATCTAATCCCTAGCCTTCCAAATATTTGAAGATGACTAAGTTCTCTCCTTCCCACCCCTAATCCCACCTCCATCACCATTATTCTCCAGGTGCCATATTCCTTCCAATGATCTTCAGGGGATCCTCCTCCATCTTGGTTGCCCTCCTCTGGGTGTTCTCCGATTGCCAATGTCCATCTTAAATTGTGGCACCCAGAACTGAACACACTATTCTGGAAGTGGACAGACCCAGAATGAGGGAAGTGGGGGCAACACTCCCTTCTTCCTGATTGCTATTTGATTATTAGCCCTGAGGGCAGGAGTTACATCAGTCATCTTTGCATCTCTCTTCCCTTTCACACCCCACCCAGACTCCATAGTGCCTCCCTAGCACAAAGCCTTGCACAGAAGGTTATACGTAGGGAAACAAGTACAGTATAGGGGAAAGAGCCCTGGTCCTCGTGATACATATTACCTGTGTGACATTGGGCGAATCATCTAACCTCCATGGGCCTCTTCATCTGATAAGTGAGGGGGTTCAACTCATTGGTATTCTCATGTGGCTTGTGGAAAGCAGTCTCTCTCATTGACATGTCTCTCTCATAAGACCTCTTGGTTTTAAGCAGTGCTGGCTCCGGTGAAACCCCTTCAACAAATATTTGCCAAAGGACTGCTCAATGGCTAGCACTGGGTTAGGTCCTGTGGGAGATAAAAGGACCCAGGAGCATGGCTTCTGAGCATCTGTGCCAGCTGAATGATAGGCCAGGGAATTAGATCAATGTCATCAGTTCAGAAAATTCAAGCTAAATAAACTGAATTAATCTCTATTGCATCTTCCTTCTTTGTTCAGGATAAACTCAATCTGACTTCCACCCTCCATTTCCTTGGGCTTGTGAGGACATAAAACCTTAGTAAGTGCCCTGGGGATCGTGAGGGATGGGGATTCCCTTTGTCTCACATGGACTTCAGTTTCTAGGAAATTGAATCAGTAGCTTTCTCTATAAGGGCCTGGACTTTTCTTCTTTTAATTGGCACCTTAGTACCCAATTAACCAACAAATACACTAATTAAAAGGACAATAATAGAATTGCTGAATTAACAGGAGAGAAAAAAATGCTGAAAATAAAGGGCTTGATCTTCAGAAATCTTAACCCCTTCCCTGTTTCACCATGCCCCGTTTTCCCACTCAGAATATGGAGATGATACTGATATGGAGACCATGCATCACAACACACTTTGTTGTACGAAATATGAAGAGGAGTCATAGGAAAGGCTTCTATTCCTCTGTTCAGGAAGTTCTAATGTTTCTTAATTAATGTGTTTGTGTGTATACATGAACATGTGTGTATATGTGCATGCATGTATATGTATACATGTATACACATATGCTATGTGCATGCACATGTACACTTATGTGCATGTGTATGCAGATGTATGCTATATATACATGTACATATACACGAACATATATACATATGTACACATACACATATGCATATACACATGTATACACACATATATAGACACATATGTGTGTCTATGTATATGTATGTATGTGAGTGTATATGTGTATGTGTATCCTTTGTCTGAATTTTAAAGTCTTTCATGATCTGGCTCCAGACCGACTTTCCAGGTTTATCACCTCCCTCCATGAACTGTCTGTTGCAGCCAAAGTGGCCTCCTGGTGATTTCTTACGACACTACTCCATCTCCCACCTCTGGGCCTTCGTACATGCCTGGAGTGCCGGCCGTCCTCTCCTCTGCCTCTTTAATCCTTAGCCTTCTTCAAGGCTGAGTTCCTGCACCCCCTTCCCCACAAGGCCCTTCCCGATCTCTTTCTTGGTAGGGCCCTTTCTCCCCACTACCTCAAATTACTTTGTATTTATGTTGCATACACTTCTTATTTGCTCTCTGTTGGATATACTCTTCTCTTTGCAGAGGGATTTAGCTTCTAGAGGAGGGCAAGGACTGTTCTGCCTTTGTTTTTGGTTCTCAGGGGCCCAACAAAGCACCCAGTATGCAGAGGGCTCTGAATAAATGCTTGTGGAATAAATTCGCCTCCCGGGATCTTGCCAACATACTGCCTCCTTCTTTTCAGAGAGCTCTCATCCCAGGGGTGTGCCGGACCCAGCTCATAGCAGGTTGGGAGCTGCTTGTTAAATTTTCAGTGTGAGCATTTTACACCTTGGAAATTACGAGTGCTAGGAAGAAGGATTTGATTTATTATTTTGTTGATTGTCTAGACTTAAGAAAGTGATAAAGAAAAGTATTAATGTAGATTAAACTTAAAAGTGTGTCACATTTTGTCTTCCCTCCCAGAGAGACAGTTGTTAAACATTTACCAGCACACCCGTTCTCCCCACCTATGATGATCCTTTAGCAATCATTTGGCGGGCACCCACAGAGGTTCGGGTGTGTCTAATCTAATCTATTGAACCAGTATTTATTAAATTACTACTATGTCTCTGGCAGCCTGCTAAGTGCTGGGACTGCAAGGCAAAACAAACAAAGAAAAAATATCCCTGCCCTCAAAATGCTTACATCCTACTAGGGGAAACAGTATGTATTTAAATTTTTTTTTCAATAAGCAAAGATCTATTTTCTATCCCTAACACCTCCACCATGGGAAAAGGGAAGCTTTAAAACAAATATGCATAGCCAAGGAAAACAAATTCCCAATACCTGCAGGAGCCACCAAAAAATATCTCATTTAAATAAATATATGAACGACAATGTGAGGAGGAAGAAGGTGCTAACAACTGGGAGGATTGGGTCCTGCCAAGAGGAGATGGTATCTTGGCCAATTAGTGGGCGAGGATGCTCTTGGGTGGAGATAGGTGAGGAAGGATCAGATCTAGGGGCATGCAGAGACAAGTCAGCTGGGACCATGACAGCTAATGAGGCTTGCCATCCACAAGGGTTGGGCTCTTCACCTCCAAAACAAACATCCTTCCCCACCCCTGGAGTACTGGTCCTGAGATTATGGTACTACTTCCTCCTCCCACTCATAGCTGCAACTAAACCAAGCCACCTGAGCCCTTAACAAACCACAATATCTCTCTAATTCTCCCCAGGCTGATTTTATTGCAAAAAACTTCATTCCCAGAGAATTTATTAGTTGAGATGTCTGTGTACTTTTCTTGGCAGATAGACTTGTATTCTTTGCCTTTGCAAGGCTATGCTAGGAGCCCTTCAGCATTGTTAGGGTTAACTCCAAATCACTGGGTCCTAGAACCAAAGCTACCAGGAACCCAGAGGCCACGAAGTCCCACTTCTCACCTTTTACCCATGAGAAAGCCCAGGAGCAGGGAGTTAATAGGACTGGAGGCTGATCATACAGCCTACAAACATCAGAGTGGCACTAGAACCCAGGCTCTTTGACGCCCTGGCCAGTGTTTTTCCACTGTACCATGATGAAGATGAAGGACAAAAGTATACATACTCTATCACTGATGTATTCAAGTACAAAAAGAAGTGGCTATCTTTTTCCTGGGGCAGCCAGCTGGTACAGTGAATGGAATGCTAGGCCTGAAGTCAGGAAGACCTGAGTTCAAGTCCATCCTAGTTGTATGACTCTGGGCAAGTCACTTAACTTCTGTCTGCCTCATTTTTCTCATCTGGGGATAATAATAGCACCTACCTCCCAGGGAGGTTGTGAGAACCAGATAATAGTTTAAATTGCTCAACACAGAACTTAGCATAAAGTAGGTGCTTAGTCAATGTTGTTTCCTTGCTTTCTTCTAGGTACAATGAGTTACAGAATTTTAAAATTGGAAGGAAAGTAATTTGAGGCAATAGGGAGAAGGGCCCTAAGAGGAAGGAGGATCAAGAAGGGCCCTGGGCAGGAGATCTCATCCATGAATGAGCTCACAGGAGAGTTCACCAAGGAAAGAAACTGTCCTACTTTTGTCTCTGTATCCCCAGAAGCATCACAGTGCCTGGCACAGGGTAGGTACTAAGGAAATGTTCCTTGATTGACTGATTGGTTTGCCCAATCAGACAATGCTTAAAGACTTCTAATGTGGGACTGTCCACTACCTGCTTAGAGCATAGAGGAAACATTTAACAAACACTTGTTGATTTTCGCAATCTTGTACTCAAAATTGATCATTGGAACTTAGCTTTAAGATTTTATATTTACTCCTCCTCAGTTTCATCTCATTAGATTTGTACCTGTGAGTCTAGGCTTGAACAGACCAACTTAAATTGGCCTCCTGAAAGTTTTCACCACAGATGCTCCCCATTCTGAAGTTCAGGGACAACCACTCCTCTTCGGCACTGGCTAATATCTCCGGGGCAGCAAGTGATGGCTGGGGGTGGAAAGAATACAAAGTTTCAGTTAACTTGAGGCCAGAAGAAGTCAGCCTGTGGACAAACACAGTCGCTGATGTGGATGTGTCACAAAGGGTAGATCCTGGAACAGAAAGCAAGAAACACAGCGCAAGCAGAGTCTACAAGCAGATGTCTTGTCTGAGAACCAGAAAAATCATTTAGGAGCCGAAGCTCTCAGAGTCAGGAAGAAGTATAGCCCAAGGTCGGAGTTCAAACAACAAGGCCTGAAGTTGAGCAGAAAAACTGTATGCTTCACATGTTGAGTGAGTTGGTATCTTTTAACCAAAGTTCTTCACTTGGAGTCCATGAACTCCCAAGGCAGGCTATGGAAAGATTATAGAGGGTCTATGAATTTGGATTGGAAAAAAATTACATTTTCATTTTGGTATAACTGGTTCCCTTTGTAATCTTTGGTATTTTATTTTATTCATTTAAAAACATTCTTCTGACAAGGTCCCATAGGCTTCTCCCTTCCTGCCAAAGGTGTCCAAGACACAAACATGGTTAAGAACCTTTATTTTAAGTCCAAACCCAATAAATGAGCTTCATCTCTGGACAGCTCCTGGCAATGCTCCCTGAGTGGGAAATTTCTTCATTTGGGTATATGGAGAACACACTGTCCCTAAAGGAAATGTCAAGCCCTTTTGAGGTTTTTAAAGGGCTTTCATTTCTAGTAATAATGGGGAAGTAGCCAGTGGGTTAAAAGACTCCTGTCTCCCCAACTTCTGTTATTTTACTTTGACCTTGCAGAAAATAATACACAGATACAAACAACCAGTCTTTCTGACGCAAAAAAACTGGTCAGTTAGTCCATAAGCATTTATAAAGCACCTACTATGTGCCAGGCATTGTGCTAAGTGCTTGGGGTACAAAAAAAAAGCAAAAGATAGTCCCTGCTCTCAAGGAGCTCACAGGAAGACAATATGCAAATAATTGGGGACACACCCACACCCACACCCAAATATAAATAATATATATGTACAAGATAAATTAGAGATAATCTCAGAGGGAAGTCATTAAGATTAAGGAGGACTGGGAAAAGCTTCTTATAGAAGATAAGATTGATTTTAGCTGAAATTTGAAGGAATCCAAGACACAGACAAGAGGGAGAGAATTCCAGTGAAAGTAATGCCTGTGAAAATGCCCTGAGTCAAAGGAGTGCCTTGTGTGAGGAAGAACAAGGATACCTGCATTCATGGGGTAGCAGAATACATGGGGGGGGGAGATGGGGGGAGGAAGAAAAAGAGCAAGGTATAAGAAGTCTGGGCGGGGCAGGGTCAATGGTAATGAAGGCGTTTGAACACCAAACAAGGGATTTCCTATTTGATCCTGGAGGTGATAGGAGCCTCTGGAGTTTATCTGATGAGGAGATGATATGATCAGACCTTCATTTTGACAGCTGAGTCGGGGTGGGGGATAGAAGGAAACCTGAGGCAGGAAGAACAACCAGCAGAAGGATATTGCTATAGTCCAGTTATAAGGTGAGGGGGGTCTGCACCAGGGTGGTGGCAGTGTCGTAAGAGAGAAATAAAGAAAGATGTTATGAAGGAAAAATCAAAGTAATGTGAATCTACGTGTCATTGAAAAACCTGGAATAAATTACCATTGGCATTTGGGGGTAGGAGGAGGTAACAGACACAAAGACAAAGAAGAAGAAAAAGAGAAAGCCCTTCCCTCTAAGAGTTTAAATTCTAGCAGGGGGAATGAGGTGGCCAGATCTAGTTTCTGCAGACAGATAGTAATAAAACCACCTGCCTGGTGGGGCTGGAGGAGCTAGCAGTGAGGAGTAAGAGAAGACTTGGGATTTACACAGTCCTTTTCTCTCATTCCCAACAGTCCTGCCCCATGGAGATCCCACCTTGGATTGGCCCTCAGTCGGATAAGAAATAATATCAAGTAGCAGCAGCAGCAGAGATAGAACTAGGAATTCTGGACCATGGGACAAATTCAGCTGTGGGGGACAAACGGAGGAGACAGAACAATTCTGCTTTGTCTAGTACTGCTATCCAGGAGAAGGGGTGGGCCACCCTTCAGGAATCTGGGCCTAATCCCATTGCACATTGGAGGTGATGGTAGTCAGAAGAGGATGGGGCATGGTAATGGGTGAAGTCGGGACCTGAGAGCAGGGTAAGACTTTTAGGAGTAGTAATACATAGCATGAGGTTATTGGAGGACCATGAAGCCAGGGACTGGTAGACTGGAAGACCACTATGATGCTCTAATGTCCTGAAGTATAGAAGTGATTGATAATCCTCCTGTATTCTACACTAATCAGACCAAATACGAAATGCTGGGTTCAGTTCTGGGGACCACAGTTGAGGAAAGATATTGGTTAAGAAGAGTGTCTAGAGAATAATGAAATAATGAAAGACCTTGAGTGTGTGACATACAAGGATCAAGGAAAGAAATGGGGATATTTAGATGGATGAGAGAAGACAAGAGGAATGTGACAGATACATAGAAAATCAATGCCTTCAAGTATTTATATCCCCCATTAGAATGTAAGCTCATTGACAGTGGAAACCATACCATTCATAGTGTTTACATCCCTAGAGCCCAGCACAGTACCTAGGACAGTAGGTGCTTAATAAATATTTGTTGATTGATTGATTGTATAGTGAGGCTGTCACCTATATATAGCATGGAGAACAGACATCACTACAAAATGGACCTCATCTTTCCCCACCCTTCTTCAAGGCAGTCTTTAGTTCCTGCCAAGAGGGGAAACAGGAGTTTGGGGTCAGAAGCTTGGCCACTCTGCTGTCCTCAGAGAAAGTGGGTCCTGGACAAGCATGAAATCTATCTGTTCCCTTAAATATTACTAGTCTAGGGGGTGCAGTTTTCAGGTTCAAATAATTTCCAATTACAAGACAGTTTTCAACATTCACTTTTATAAGATTTTGAATTCTAATTTTTTTTCTTCCTCCCTCCCATCTCTTCTCTCCAAGATGGCAAGCAATCTGATATAGTTTATACATGTACAATTATATTAAACATATTTCCATATTAGTCATGTTGTGAAAGAAGAATCAGAACAAAAGGGAAAAACCACGAGAAAGGAAAAAAAGTGAAAATAGAATGCTTTAATCTGCATTCAGACTCCATAGTTCTTCCTCTGTATGTGGATAGCATTTTCCATTATGAGTTCAAGATAAACTTCTGATGGCTGTTTCTCCCTTCCTCCCCACCCGGCCCTAGAGAAGATTACAATTAAACACAAAAATACATACATGTTATATGTACATACATATATTTATAACAAACATACATATAGCAGATAGCAAAGAAAACCCATTTATTAAAGTAGGTAGCAAAACAGAAATCAGAGGAAATATACATAGGAGAACAAATTCCAGACGATACAGAGTGAAGGAGCTCTGGGTCCCCAGATTTCACCCAGGGGAAATTCCCTGAAGTCTCAAGTGTAAGGAGCTGGGGATAGGGCCATGATGGAGGCTGCCGGCTCCTGTTTGCTTCTTCCCTGAGTCTTCCCTCTTGAAGATGGAAGCCAGAAAAGCCCTAAGGGATTGCAGAAACCAAAGAGACTCAGAGAGTCTCAGAGAAAGATTCAGAGAGATGGAAGAGCTTCCTTCTCTCCTGCTCTTGCCACCTCCCCCCCCCCCCCCCGCCCTCATGAAGGGGCAGAGGATTGATCCTCTTCATTAAGGAGTCTCATACCAATTGATTTTGGAACTCACGGTACAACTGAAGAGGAATTAATCTTGTTCTTGGATCTAGGAAGCAAAACTAGGAGCAAGGGGAGGATGTTTCAGGGGGGGAAATAGATTTAGATTCAATAAGGAAAAACTTTCTGGCCATTAGAGTGATCCGAGAGTAAAAGGGCTGCTTTGGAATGTCATGGGTTCTGGTTTTACATACATGCATAATAATGATCCAGGGCCAGCCTGTTTTTGTACAGCCTTCAGATTGAGAATGGGTTTGGGGTTTTTTTTTACGTTTTAAAATACGATAGAATTTTATTTACAAAGTATCCAACCCAACAAGCTTTTAGTCAGCACCTACTATGTGCCAGGAACCTATGCAAGGCATTTGGGATACAGACAAAATTAAATACAGTCTCTGCAACTAATGGTGGCCATAGGCTGTTTTGTATTTGAAGTGACTGAGATTTTCTTAGGAATTCAAAAATATTTTCTTCCTAGGAAAAAAATTAATGAATAGGACTTGTTCTTATATATTGCTCAAAATATATGTATGTACATATGTATATATAACGTATATATTTTTGTGTTTAATTGTAGCCTCCCCTAAGGTGGGGTGCAAAGAAAGGAAGGAAAAAAGTAAATGGTAGACAGAAGAGAACAAAAGAAAACTTAGAAGGAAGCACAGAAAAGCTGGATAGCTTTGAAAGCAGTGTGTAGTATTTATTATATTTTTTAAAAAGTAAACGGTCTGAAATGGAAATTCATTGTTTTACATTAAATCCTTTCTTTATATTCTGCTGGGTACATGGAAATGGCCTTTTTTTTCTCATTTTGTATTTAAGTGTAAAATAAATAATTTTAAAAAAAAAGTCATGAGTTCCCCTTTGATGAGATGTCTTCCAAGCAAAGACCAGATAACCACTTGCAGTATGATGAAGAAGGGATGCTCATTCAGGTATGAGTCTTCTGAGGTCTTTTTCAATTCACGCTCTGTCATTTTGTCTCTGTTTTGCATAATCAGGCAAGAAAAACCAACTTTTCTTCTGCATTCATTGACTAAATAGCATATTGGGAGAGGGGCCAGTTTTTATCCTTATTCCCCCACTTTTTTTTTTTAATCTTTGTCCCCTGGTGCATCAGATTCAGTGGATATTGTTATTTCCCTAGTGCTTTGGATATGTCTTCTACATCCCCACCACCAGCTACCTTAAAGGAAATAACAGTCTATCCCCATTCCTGCAGAATCCACACAGCAAGCAGCTTCAACCAGGAGAACACATGACTAAAGCAAAGGATCTTATTTCCAGCTCTCA